GTCCCATTTCTAACACTAAGTTTTCCATTCACACCTTGAAATCTAATTTTGGCCTTGAACTATCTTCCCTACTCTCTTCAAATTTATATCACTTCCTTAGATTTTCTGTGGATGAGTTCCCTCTCCCAACCAATTTTAAGAAACAATTAGGGTAAGAACCTTCCTTTTTCCATCTTTGTAAGCCTCACAGTGCTATACATGGTGGGCATTGAGCAAACATTTTTGTAGTTCCCATCTTACCAACTACCAGTCTTTTGTTTTTGTTTGGTTTGCACAATGTTGGTCTGGACAGTGTTTATGAAAAATATGAATTAATTTCCAAAATTAAAACCCTGAACTTTTTAAATAAAAATGTGGGTATTTGGCAAGTCTTGGAAAATGGCATGATCTGGCAAAATGCACCCCACATTCCCACATGGTCACAGTTGGTTGGAGCTAAATCAAAGTTGGTCCCTGTAGGTGGATGTGGGGGGCGCTTAACCCACAGAGCCCCCCATCCGCTGAGGATGAGAATAAGTCTACCAAAACATGACCTGCTTGGGAAGGAAAGGTAGCCAATCTCTCAAAGGAGAAGGGTCTGGAGCCTTTTCCTCAAGGGGCTTTTATTGAATTTAATTTGCACAGGAATATAGGGTGTATATGTAAAGCCCATCAATCATTGTCAGGCAGTAATGATCAAACAATAGATAACTTTCAAAGAACTATGAGGGCTTATTTTGAGTCAGGATCAGATAGCTAGAGGGCCATAAAACTTTGGGGGGGGGGGAAACAAACTCATTTCATTTGCTTGGACCCTTATCATTTAAATTGAGGGTATTAGCAAAGCAGGTTTCACAGGATTTTATGCATTCTTTCTTAGGCCAGATCGCCCTCGGGAACCTGCCCTTTCCAACACAGGGTTGTACCCACCTCCCACAGTGTTTCAAGTTTAAGTAAGGCAGGGGAAGTAAGGGAGCCAAGAGATTAGGAGGCTTCTTGCAGACAGAATGAGAACTCAGGCTATGTCAAAGCTGAGGGGTGAGGGTCCATCATCCCCTTTTTCTGTAGCCCCCCAAGTCTTTTCCTGAGGGCCCCTTCATGACCATGCGTGTCTTAGGTCATCCCTCCCTTGAGGAATCTTACCTGTCATTGGCTAACCAGTTATCTGCCCGGGGCCAACCAGGGTGAAGTAAAGGGGGGCACAGACAGCACCCCTACAAGGCAGGTAAGCTGTGTCTCCTTAATGGCTTATGGTCCTGAGGTCTTTTTACTCAGCCTTAGCCACGAGGGGTTACAGTTTCTGAAAACAGGCAGGGCGATTCCCAACTGATGGACTAGGCTCTCAGTTTTTCTCAGCCAGCTCATGTGTTCTCTGCATGAGGACAAGTGACAGTGAATGTTATTAACTCATTTGCTGTATTTGTTTTTCCTATAGAATATTTAAGAGGAAAATGAGAATTGCTTGTACGCACATTTCTATACAAGCTGGAAAACTAAAGCTAGACTGAGAGGACCATGCTTTTTATTGTTTCAGTTTGTTTTTATGTTGTTGATACCTGAATTCAGTTCATTAATTGATTCCTTTACTATTTATTGAGTACCTACCTTGGGTAGCCACTGTTTTATATGCTGGGAACAAAGTTACCTAAGTATTAATGGGCATGTGAGAACAGATGTATACCAAATTAACAAAATGGTTAATCTAAAAATCAATTTTTAAATGGGACTAGATAAACTCTTAAGGAGCCAAACTAAAGTCATTCCAAATTATCTAAAGTTGCCAAAAAAAAAAAAGGTGCTACCTGTGGAATCCTCTTTACAGTACCCCTGAGAGGGCTAGTCCTTGTCTGTTGTATTTTTTTCTGTAAAAGACACATTTTTCATTTTCACCAGTAACTTTATTGATTTGGATATTTTGAGTGTGTCAGGTATTTCCTGCTATTGGCTTCTAGGTCTGCAGAAGCTGGTGAGTGAGGATGTGTGTGGGGGGTGTGGTAAATATGAGGCCCCCAGGTTAGTTCTCTTTCCTCATCCAATTAGATAGACAAGAGGTGAGAGGATTATTCTTGAGAGAACTGGAGCCCGTGAGATTCTAGGCTGGGACTAACAAGGACAGCAAGTGCAGGAAACAGGCATGGCACCAAAAACAGAGGAACGAATTAAAATCCTATACTGAACTGTGAGACCCCCTGTCCTACACACATCCCCTGCTTCCTGAATGTCTTCAGCCATGAATCCTCTTTACCTGTGGAGAAGAGGTAAATAGAAGGATTCTATTCTATTCTAAAGCAGGAAATACCAGGACTCTATGGAGAAATAATCTTCCTACATTCACATTTGAGGGACTCTCAATGAAGTCCACCAGTTGATCATGCTTTGCAGTGAAGCTAGTTCATTGATACTCTGTGCCAGTTTGCATAAACTTTGCAAAGCTTCACTCTTTCAGTCTTAAATATATGTGAACTACAATGAATCATGGAGAGGCCAAACTATTAAAACTAATAGGCAAAACTAACCTGCATGAAATGGAGACATTCAAGGATGCAGAAAAACAAAACAAAACAAAACAAAACAAAACAAAACAAATGGGACTACAAATGGCCCTGTCAGTCTAGCTTTATTATTTTTTATCTTGGATAGAAATATTCATATAAGAAATGTTCACTTCCTCTTAAGTCTTTTATAGGAAAAACAAAAAAGTTTTTGCATAGCAAAGGAAACTATAAACAAACTGAAAAAAAAACAGCCCACTGAATGGGAGAATGTATTTGCTGATACATATGAAAAGGGGTTAATATCCAAAATTTACAAAGAACTTATAAAACTCAACAACAAAGAAACAAAAAATCCAATTAAAATATAAATAAAGAACCTGAATAGACACTTCTCCAAAGAGGACATACCGATGGCTAATAGACATATGAAAAGATCCTCAATGTCACTAATCATCAGATAAATGCAAATTAAAAACACAATGAGATATCACTTTACACCTGTCAGAATGGTTGTCATCAATAAATCAACAAACAACCAGTGCTGGTGAGGATGTGGGGAAAGAAGAGCCCTTGTGCACTGATGGGGGGAATGCAGACTGGTACAGATACTGTGGAAAGAAGTATGGAGTTACCTCAGAAAATTAATAATGGAACTGCCTATGAACCAGAGATTCCATTTCTGGGAATTTATCTGAAGATGCTCTAAACATCAATTCAAAGGAATATATGCCCCCTGTGTTCATTGCAGTGTTATTTGCAATAGCCAGAATTTGGAAGCAGCCCAACCAAGTGCCCATTAGTAGATGAGTGGATAAAATAGCTATGGTACATTAACACAATGAAATACTACTTGGTCATAAAAAAGAAGAAAATTTTACCCTTTGCAATAGCACAGATGGACCTGGTGAACATTATGCTAAATACAAAAAGCCAGTCAGAGAAAGACAAATACCATATGATTCCACTCATATATGGAATCTAATGAACAAACTGAACTAATAAGCAAAATAGAGACAGACTCATAGACAGCAGGATGACAGTTCTGGGGGTGGGGAGTAGAGAGATTGAGCAAAAAAGAAAAATAAAGAGAAAGAACGCATAGACATGAACAACAGTGTGGTGGTTGCAGTGGGAGGAGGGTGGGTGGAGGCATAAGAGGGTAAAGGGGAATAAATGATGATGGGAAAAATAAAATAAAATAAAATAAAATCAACAATAGATGATATAAAAAACAAAGAATGAAAAGCCCACCAAATTGATAATGTCAGAGATTTAAAATATATTTATTCAGGATGGTTCTAAAAAAGAACAAAAGAGAATTTTATAAATAAAAATATGACAAAATTGATGTTGAATTGAGAAATATCCAAGAAAGTAGACTGAATAAGGAGATGGAAAAATATAAGAGAAAGAGTAAGGACACTAGGTCATAAATATAGAAGTTAAATAATTGTCTGAAAGAGGAGCTCCAGAAAGAGGGGATAAGAGAAAATGATATGGAGAAAATAATTTAAAAATCTTACATATTTTTTTTTAGTAATGCACAGCCCATATTGAAAGATGTGCTCAATAGAATGACTGGGAAAAAAGGCCCAGGAAATTTTAGAACACTTTAGATAAAGATTTTATCCTCAAAGCATAAAGGTGGGATAAAGGAGGCAGGAATCAGAAGCAAGGTGGAGACTTGTTCGTACTTTAGGTGGTGGTGGTTGGCAGATCTGTTCTGTGGGTGGAGGTTTCCTTTTTAAAAGGAGTTTTGATGAAACTCACTTATTAAAAGTTTCCACTTGGAAGTTTATGCTTGGCGTCGCCTCTCATCTATACTTTGTTCCACCTTTCAAAATCACAGGTGGCCCAAACGGCAAATGGCAGGCACCAAAGTCTGGTTGTGTTGTTTGTTTTTTTAATGAACAGCATTTCTTAAACAAGCACAGTGATGTCATTATAAAATTTAGTTCAATGTGGTGACTTTTCAGAAAAGATAAAGTTTAGAAGCTTGCTTTTATTTTGATGCAATGGAAAACAAATGGTTTGCTAATCAATTTCTCCATCCTGTAATAACGTAGATGCAATAATGTTGGTTGCCTCTCTTTTTAATGTGTCGGCTAGGAAGAAGAATAAAACTAGAGCATACATACACACGTGGGTATTTATTCCTTTGTAAATCTGTACTGTTTGCTGAAATGCAGAGAGTTATGCTGTTATCCTCTGTTGGAACACTGGTTGAGTGAGGCCATGTCATAACATAATACTGCAGCCTACTTGCTTGCTTTTATATATCCCAGGCTTTAACCACATTAGACCAGAAGATATAAAAAATGGGAAAGCACAAAAATTAAAATTACATAGGCAATGTAGGCATGATGCTTCCATACATCTGCTAGTGGATTACTATAAAAATGCATAATGAATCATAAATTTATGGAGAAAAAGACTGAGATATTATGTTACATAAAACTTTATAACTAGATTTTCTTTCCTTGCCTTCTTCAGTTTTCCCACAATACTTGTGTTTTTCTCCCACAGTAAGATATTTCCCAAAGGCCTTCCTGAGGAGTATGCCATAGCAGCCATGTTTCGTGTACGAAGAAACACCAAAAAGGAACGCTGGTTTCTGTGGCAAGTCTTAAACCAGCAGAATATGCCACAGGTGAGGAACCACAGAGTCGTGCTTAGGCTAGATGTATCTTAGAACTATGTGTACAAATTTGGGAGCACCCAAATAGTCTGTCTTTTAGAGGAATTGTCAACAGGGAAATTCAAGTATTCTCATTGTTAGGATGATCTTGCTGAAATCTGTAATAGGGAAGTCTGATAGGTGAGATAATATTAGTTTTCTTTTTTACTTCTAGATTCATATTTTGTGTAAAGTCACTCAAACTGCTCTTCCTTTACAACTGCTTCACTGACACTAAGTCCACTTCATGGATACTTGTGTTATCTGCGATTATTTCTGATGTTGTATGTTTCTTATTTTTAAAAGCTGTTCATTGTTGTCATCTGAAGTTCCTTAGTGAACTAACAGATATTGATTTTGATCCCCTCAATAAAAATTTATTGAATACATACTATATGCTGGTTAGTGACAGATTTATAAAGCATAATTCCTGTTCTCAGGAGCACAAGGCCTAAGGGGATGTCATCTAGGAAAACAACATACTAGAGCATAATCACAATGTGACAAGTGCAGTAGTAAGCTTGGAGCTGGGTGGGGAGTGGGAGGATGGGGAGAGCAAGGATCTAGGAATATTTGTCAAAGAGATGGTATTTGGGCAGAAAGGAGAGAGGGAGGGTACTCTGGTGAGGGGAGATGAACCTTACTTATTGGCACCATCCATTTGCGAGTACTTCTGTATACATTCATTGGAATGTTTTTCATTTCACTGATATTTTAATGTGTTAATACAGTCACAATTTTAGGATGGAAAGATGAACCAAACTGAAAGAGTGGGTCCTCTATGCAAATGCATTTTCTCTGCACCTTGCAAATCACCTAAAGTTAAAGAACTTGATCTCAATTTTCAAGCTAAGAGAAATGATCATATTCTTCTTCTTATACAATTAATAGCACTTAATTTTTTAATTACTCATACAGAAATATACACACATACACATGCATGCACATATATACTCTTAGATGATACTCTGAGGAGTATCTTACATTCACCAGAATACCACATACTGAAACCATTTTGTAGCTGGATATTTGCTGTTCTTCTACGTTAACCAACCTGGAGGACACAGATGTGATCTAAAACATTTCACTAAGTACTTTAATTGTAGTAATATGCATGCTGAATTTTGATTTGTGTGCTTCACTAATTTCAAACATTGATTTTAGAATTTTTAAAGCCAATTTGCATTTTGCAGGTTTCTATAGTAGTTGATGGTGGAAAGAAGGTGGTGGAATTTATGTTCCGTGCTGCTCAGGGAGAAGTGATGAACTACATTTTTAAAAATCGAGAACTCCGTTCTTTGTTCGATCGTCAGTGGCATAAACTGGGCATCGTTATACAACCCCGGGGCATTTCCCTATACATGGATTGCAACTTAATTGCAAGCCAGCACACTGATGAAAAGGATGCTGTGGACTGGCAAGGAAGGACTGTGATCACTGCACGAGCTTCTGACGGCAAGCCTGTGGATGTGAGTTGTGACATTGGTTGTGAAAAAGAACTAGTCAGATTTCTAAGTTAAAACAAAATGTCTTATTTAGAACTTCCTTTAATGACTATGTAATACATAGCCTTCTGCACACATTTTCCATCAGGTGTGCAAAAGTTAGCTATGTATTTCCACTTGTATTTTCACATATATTATCATCTATGTATTTTTACCCTTTTTTTTCCAGTCTGTGAATTTAAAAGAATTAGGCCATGCCTTTAAACATAAAGTTATTAAAATTAAATTATAGTAAAAGAGAAAATGTAGTAGAAAAAGGAAGTTTGATATTTAGGCACTAGAAAAAGATGAAACTTGGAATGGTTCCAGATGTTTTTATTCAAGAACAATAGGCTATTTATTCAGCCTCAGAATAGCAACTGCTTTGTACTGCAGACTACTTTTCATGAGCTTATAATGCTTTTTCAGGGTTCTAATGGACTAAAACATAGGCACTAATTGTATCAGTAGGTCATTTGGGTAAGAACAGTTGGTTAATAAAACCTTTTCAGATGAAAAGTTCCTTTAAAAATTAATTTGACATTCAGATGATAAAGATTTATAATTGATTTCCCTAGAGAAGAAGGTCCATAATCTTAAAAAGTGACGTATATCTAACGTTTATGACTGCACATTTTCTTGAAGGTAGAGTCATGGAAAATCATAGAATGATATAAAAATAGTCTGAATTCAGGTCGCCAGTAGGAATTGGCATTGCCCTTAAGCCAAGCACTTAACAGTTTAGTTTTTATTTCAGAAGTATAATTCTATACTGATATATATTTGGCCAGCTAATTTACACACACACACATTTTTCAATAAAATATTATTTTTAAACTGTCTTCTTAGAGACAGTGAACACATCAGTGAGAATGCCATGACTCGGGTTCAGTGATGATCAAAAAAATAAGCCAGAGCAGAAGCCAGTCCTAGAGACAGGACATCATGGCATCATGGAGAGCAAGCTAGCTTGGGGATCAGACAGATGTGGTTGTAAATCCTACCTCATCTACTTAACTGCTATGATCTGCTAATTTACTTGTTAGCTGTTAATATGTCTGAGTCTCAGTATCCTCCATTATAAAAGTGTTGATGGAATTACTTGTTATCTTAATGAATACATGCTGTAGTGCCTGGTATGTAGTCAGTTCTCCATAAATTTATTTCTTTATTCAGAGCCAGACATGGCATTCAACCCCAGCATAAGAAAGTAGGAAAAGGAAAATATACCTTCTATTCTGGCTCTTTGTTGAAGAGGAATGAAGGATTAAAGTCGATGTCAATAAATGGTGGCTGCCAATAAAAACAGTGTCAGTTGCACTAACAATAGTTCCAGATACACCTTTCAGAAAGATCTCTCCAAAGGCAAGGGAGGAAGTAGAAGCAAGTGACTGGATCAACAGAGATTTGACTCTCAGCAGCAGGTGAAGCATAAGGTAGATTGAAAGTCAGCTTCAGGGAATTCTACCAATAGTGTCAGGAAATGGCAGTAGTGCTACCTGCATGTGCTAGAGTTTGGGACTGGAATCTGGTGTTTATAGGACTAGTAAGAGCAAAGTGGGCTCTGGTTCCAGAGAAACAAGAAGAATCTAAGTGCACACTGAAATAAATTCATAATCTTTGGGGAGAAACAGCAACGGGAGAGGAACAAGTTATTCCAAGTGTAGAGTCTAGGCTCAGAGCTCACCCTCTGAAGGTTGAATGTCTGTCCTGTGTTTTAAACTCTCACCCAAAGGAAGAATTAAACCAGAACCTGAGGCTGAAGAATATCAGGTGTGTCCTTTTAAAAACACATGATGTAAACATTATAGTGCTATAGTAGTTTTATAGTTTAATATGGAATTAATTCATCTGAGAATAAAATTAAAGGCATATCAATGATGCAGCTTTTTTAGAAATAGTAATGGTTTAAATAGAATTAAATAAAATACATCATTTTTAAAATTTTTTAAAGATTCTTGATCCTACTAAAACTTTAAGTGGACTAATTTTGTATTATGTCCTTACAAGTTCTGTGATTCATAAGATCTTTGTAATATGAAAATGTTTTATTTATTCAGAATTTATGTTACTAAAAAATTCTAATGATTGGTTTTTACTTTAGATGTACTACCTACATGCTTCTATGAGAAAGAAATAGGTGATAAAACTGATAGAAAGTTTTTTTTAACAAACAAATTGTGTGTGACAGAGGTCAGTAAAAGACTTAGTTCTAAACATTCTCATTCTAAAACACTGTGTCAATGAATGACCAAAGTAATTAATGAATAACAGCATAATTAAACTAGGCTAATTGTAGTTTCAGTGTCATGGGTACTTGATTAGGTTCTAATCTGTCAAAAATTGATCAACTATCTCCAGTTAAGTAAAATAATTCATTTGAAGGGCTTAGCACAGTGCATGGTACATAATAGAATTTCACTATTTATTGACTATTTTGATGATGATGATAAATAAGATTTAGTTAAGAAGAAAATTAATTGTTATTTTCCTTCTTTATTCAACATAATAGGTATGTTACTGCCTGGTATTTCATAGACTGTGTAAGACAGTGTATTTAAAGTTTATAAATAAAAATTAATTTCAATAACCTTGCAAAAAGTTATAGAAAAGAAATTAAGTTTTATTTCATCTCAGAATTCTGCACTGGCTGCAAATCTTAGGCAGCTCATGAATTCACAAGACGTCCGAAGTTCTTAATGCTTTCTGTGAGATGAATTGATATTATTCATCTTAATGTAGAATAATTAGTTAGGCCTTTCTTTTCTTTCTTTCTTTTTTTTGGTGTTGGAGCAGGGATTTAAAACTAACTGCAGATATCAGCATCCTATTATCACAGGATTGTTACAATATTATAGTTGAGACATTCTGTAGAAAGTATTTATTGACCTGAAAGTAATGTATAATCTAGCTCTATTATTTTGGGAGACAGAGAAAGGGGTGGAGAGAGAAAGAGAGAGAAGAGTAAGGCAGGAAAGAGGAGGAGTGGAGGGATGAGGTTGTTCCTGACCTATTTTATGTGTGTAATAATGATATGATTAATTATTAATTAAATTTAAAAATTTTTAAATCACAAAGTAACTGAAAATAGCATATTTAAGCATCTAACATATTGAAATTTTATTAATAATCTGTACTATTTACTTGCTTTTATGTGATTGTTTGATCTTGCATTTAAAAGCATCCTCAAACTACTTTAATTTCATGTGCAAATGCCAAAAAAAAATGAATCTGCTGAGCAAATAGGAAAGTCAATTATTTTTGTAAAGATTGCCAGCCCTGCTCAAGACTATGCCAATATAATATAAAATCCATAGGTATTAGTCAGAATCCATGAAAAAAAGATAAAGACTGAATACCTTTTTTCCTTATTGGGAAGTGACCATCTTTTTTCATTTCTTAAGTAAGTCTGGAACTACACATAAAGCCTTTTCCATTGTGTTCTCAGACCTTTGACCTTACTTTGTTTTCCATGATTTTTTGCTTTGATATAGTTCTCATTTTGTGGGTTTATACTTTATTGTGATGAATAGCAATACCTCTGTTTAATTAAATACTTTTTTAAATGTTCAAAACAATTAGCCAAGGTGTGGAATTGCTTTCATTCTTTGATTTCCATTATATACAGATTCATCTCAGTAACCTGAGTCTATTTTTCAAATGGTACATAAAATTGTGATCCTAAATTAATAAAATCATTAAAAATACCTACCAGTATTTTATTTAATTTAGCTTCTTTTTTCTTACCAGGTAAATCACTGTAGTTCTTAAGTGCCTAAATGTGATTTTCTTAAAAAACTAATGATATATCTTATTACTAATTTTTTAATAGATTGAACTTCACCAACTTAAAATCTACTGTAATTCAAACTTCATAGCTAAAGAATCTTGTTGCGAAATATCAAATACTAAGGTAAGTTCATTTTCATGGTATGTGAAGAATGTAGAATGCCAGTTGTCTAGTCTAGAGTCCAAGTGTGGGGCAGCACTGAATATCTTCTGGCAATGACAGGTGAATAATTTTTTCCAAGTAAGAGACCTGTCTGAGAACTTTCCCATAGTTTCTGTTAACAATTTTAATCCCAGTGTTTCATCCTGAATTTTGGAAATGATATATCCTTACTTTGGATTCACCATAAGTAAAAGAGAATTTATGCCTTGCTCTCTAAACTATGCTTTAACAGCAGCATAATTCTCCAGTTACAAGGGTTTTAAATTTGTGATCATACCTTATTCTCACTCATTTCTCTCTGCTAGCATATCTCCCCTCCTGGGTAGTTTACCTCTTGGTGTGATAGATTTTTCATGTGCATCTTCCTTATTGCCATGGTCCACCTTTGCCTCACTCCTAGATTGCTGCATTAGTGTCTCAACTGCCTTCCCTGTCTCTAGCCCTTTTGCTTTCCGGCATAAGAAGAATAAGACTCTAAATCACTGCTTTCTATATTCATTTACTTTTTTCCACTAAACATTTATTATTGAAAAACATTGATCTTTTAGACATAGTGTTAAGGAACAAGGCTAGCAGACATGAATAAGGCACATTCCCTGCACTCTGTTCATCTTTCTCAAAGCCTTTGGTCATTCATTGTTGAAAACAAAATATAAATTCAGTTTTTTAGCCTCTCATTTTCAACATTCCCAAACTAATGGTACAACTATTACTTTCTTGTACCAATCTTCCATTCCAAAGGAAATTCTGAATTCAATAATTTCTACATCTCTCATTGTGATGGTCATTGTGCCATCTTATATTATTAGATATAATTGTAATTTATTCAATTGCATTTTAAACTCATCAAAGGGAGTTATACTTTCATACTATTTTTTAAAAAATTACTAGTGCTCTGTTTTAGGAGATATTCAAAACATTGTTTCATGCCTTGCTGACTTACAACTATGAAGGAGAGAGATGGGACAAAAAGGTGTTTGAGAGGGACAGATTCTGGGAAGTCTTAAAGGACATGTGAAAAGTAGAAGGTGAAAATATTTTTCTTTGTATCTCGAAACTTTCAGAAGTTCTACACTTACTATAAAAATTATGTGAAAATTTTTAGCAGTAGCTTAGTAATGTAAAAATATTTTTAACCTCCATTACTCGCTATGGGTAGTAAAATAATAATGTGACCAGCTGATTCAAAGCATAGCTAAGTCTTTCAAACTTTTTTGTTTTGCTTGTGTAACTTGGTTTTATGAAGCCTATTTCCAAGTCAGTTTATGGCTCTTATTCCAAGTAAAATAAAGGCAGCCAACTGTCTTTCTATAAATATCTAAAAAGATAATTTAGAATGCCAATCTACAGACTTGAAATACCTAGACTTCCTTGAGTCACACATTTAAATCTTGAAGATGATAATTCTCCAAAAGTTTTTTTTTTTCAATAATCATGCTTTTGTGATATAGGAGCTCTTAAAATAGTAATTTTCTGTGATTGAAAGTTAACATAATGATGTTATGATATATCCAACTAATATATTCTTGTCTAATAGTTACAACTCTTTGTTATCACGTAGTGGACATTTTCAACTCAAATTATGAGAAAACTGTTTAGGGAATTATAGGTGATGGATTTGATAGAGTGGCTTGATTATTAAAAGCAGTTGCATGACTTAACAAATTATGAAAAAAATTAATCATGTTTTAAAAAGACTAGGAGTTAGTTTTAAAGAGTAGAAAATAAGGCAGGAATTCATCTCTATGGAAACAATAACAAAAGACTGCTTATTTTTCTGCTAGCAATTATTTGGAGGGACAGCACCATTCTGTAAATGATTAACAGAAAATATAACATGTTGCATTTACAAATATGAGTGTATAGTTTGGAAGATTAATAATTATAAAAAGTCAGTAAAGTACATCTGCTATAATTCTGACATTAACTGCTGTTCTGGGTCTTTTGTTTTTAGTGTGCTAAATTCAGGAAATTTTAATGTGCTTGCTTAGAAATCTAATTTTGTCCTGGAATTTCAAATCAGACTTTTTTATTATTAATATTTTATAGCATATTTCAAAGGTGAAATTGATTCAAGATAATCTATAAACATATTTCTTTGGTTCTATTAATTTGATTTTCTGTTTCTGAAGCAGTCAGGTTTCATAAACTGCAGACATAGAATGAAGAACAAATATGAACAGAAGGAGGAAATCAGGAACATTTGCTGAAAATAAGTGAGAAATGTGATTAAAATTTTGAGGGCCAGTTAATTAAATATGTGTCAAATCAAAATCAGAGGTTTTACAAAGGAAGGAGTCCTTACTTGTACATTTTCTATTTCTTTTAAGCACTTTTTGGAGAGTGTGGACAGTTTTATAATAATTTATAGTCATTTAAGTTCCCAATTTAATATAGTGAATCAGTTACCCAGAGGAAAATTGTGAACTCTAACTGGATCTGATTGGGAACCTTTGAGGCAGAAACTGGCTGGAAAATTATATCAGATCATATGTGATAAATGGACTCTTTGAGTGATAATCATGTTTTATTCTAACGTGATTTTTAGACTTGTGAACTTGGAAACTTATTAAGATAACTAAATAGCTAATCATTAAATCTGGAAAGAGTCAATGTGATAGAACAAGTGGGGAGACAGGAAACGAGTCATAGTATTTCTGGGTGCTATTTTTCTTAGTTTTTATTCTTATAAGCAATAAAGTACTGTCCAGTTTTCAAAATAATTCAGTTTTGTTTTAAAAGTTATACACGTTTAGTATAAAAAACTTGGAGAATAAAGCAAAATTCAAGAAGAAACTAATATCAACCGTGATCTTATCAGAATAAAAAAAACATTGACAGTCTTACAATTTTATATCCTAACAATCTTTTTCCATGCATATTTAGTTTTTAGTATACAAAGCCACGTGTGAACTCCTTCCCCTAAACTTCAAATTCAGAGTTACAAACTGTGGTGAGGAGGAGCCTGGTAGAGGATGTTGAGAGGAAAGGGTGTGTTTATCTTCTTTAGACTCTCTTCTGGATTGATTTTTTTGAGACAAAAAAGTCCATTGCTTTGCAACCAAATTTGTCTTTATGTTGTCTCACATGTACTGAACCCACTGGATAAGTATAAAATTCACCACTTGTTTGTTACTGTGGATACTATTTTTATAACTTTAAAGGAAAATAGACTGGATTAAGATATACTTTAATTAAATATATAGCATCTTACAGTGTAAAAAGAATTTATTTTCTACTTTTACATGCTTTAACAATCATCTTGTTGAGTAAACTGTGTTTTAAAAGTTTGAATTACATTATTTTATTTTAAATTCTGTTCTCAAAACACATATACAGATGTTATTTGTATAAATTATTTTATTATGACAATGCAATTATTGTAAATGTTTGTTATTACTGTATTTGTCATAAAGTCACCTATAATAGCTTTGAAATGTCTCACCAAAACCAACATTTGAATGCATTTCTAGTGTGTTGTCAGTGTGATAAAACACATGGGAAGCTAGTGCTAGTGAAAAAGCAAAGGCATTATGAACTTTCACATACCAGTGTCAACTTTTGGTTAATTGGAAGGTAGTTCTAACAAGTAACCCCAGTCATTCCTACTTTGGTGGGAGCCAGTGTCTGGAATATCAGAATGCTTGGAATTCGGCCCATTTCCTAAAGCCTGTTTTTGGATTTTAGTGCCCAGAGCATGATGGCATTGGAAGTACTACATCATTATCAATACCCGCTCACACCAGTAGATTGTCTGCGTATCTGCCAGCAAAGCAGGAACTTAAAAACCAGTGCCAGTGCATTCCAAACAAGGTATGCTAGTATTAATCTATGCCCATTGAAAAGCCACCCCACACAGTGAGCCAGGATCCTTAAAAGTGGCCCTCTTGCACAGAATGTGTCTTGTCCTTTAGTGCTAGTTGAATCAAATGCCTAAACCACTCAGTCATGGGGGTGGATTAGGGAAGGGGGTTGGGAATAGGATTTCCTAGGTTTTTATCTGGATATTTCTGAGCCCATCAAATGCTAGTTGAATCAAATGCCTAAGCCACTCAGTCATGGGGGTGGATTAGGGAAGGGGGTTGGGAATAGGATTTCCTAGGTTTTTATCTGGATAGTTCTGAGCCCATCTGACCTTCTTTTCAGTGTGTGAATTGGAATGAATAGGAAGGTGAAGGGAGGAACAACCTCTACAACAGACAGGTGCTGAGCAGTTAACATATGACAAGAATATGCTCAAATGAGGGCATTCACAGTTGAAGAAAAACAGTGCCTGTTCTTCAACACTTATACAAAGCCACTACATAGTATTTCTTTGTTATGTGGAGACTGTATTTATCCAGTATCCCCACTTATGGCTATCCCTTGTGCCGTAAGTTGTATGGGAAGTACTCAAAGAATTTGTTTCACTTGCACCAGTATGGTGCCTGTGTCAGGAAGGCTGGGTTTATGGACCTACCTTAACTGCTGTTGTGGATGTTAGTGGCAGTCACAAGGCCTGAGCTAAAAGTAAGCTGAGTGATCTCTTGATGGCTTTCCTCTAAGCCCATAGCTGAGGGAAAAAAAGAGGAAAGGAAAAGTTGTCCTGGTACCTAGAGCAGGAAGTCCCCTAGCACTGTGACTTAATGCATGCCTTAAGCCTTAACACGTCTTGTTACTACTCCAGTCTTGGCTAGAGGAGTGGGGTTAGGGGTTGGGTGAAGTTTAGAGGAATCTTATATACATTTTCTCTAGTGACTAATGCTGTGTACTAAGCTCCACTGAAAAGCAAGTACAAGGTGCAGGGCCACCTAGAGGAGCAGCATGTGTCCCAGTCCATGAAAGGTCTCATGGAGCAGACGATGAGGGAGAGTAGTAAGCCTCATGAACAAGGCAAGAAGGACATGCTAGCGGAGGGGCCAGCATTAGCTCAGAGGGAAGCAAAGCTTTATCTTACTACTGTCAGCATAATATTTATAAACTACTTGTCTTTAGCTCAGTGAGACAGAATGTTTGGTAACACATGAATTCATTTTTGCTCAGGGAGAAGCAGGACCACCTGGAGCACCAGGCTCACTTGGTCAGAAAGGGGATAAAGGAGAACCGGTAAGACACCACCGAACACTGTTGGGATAGAAGTGGATTAAGTAAAAAATGACTTAAAAAGATGTCCATCTCATTTTTCTATGTCCCATACAAATGCATATTTTTGTTAAAGGCTATCAAGGGCTGTATTTAAATTTTGATCACTAATAACAGGAAGACTGCATCAGCATTCAAGGATGCTTTTGAGTTACTATTAGAAAGATGGACTAAAATTTTAGAAATTCTGGAAACTCAAATCTTTGTACCTATAAACAGTAAGCAAACTTGTGAAGCAAGGAAGTGTAGTTCTTTTTTTGAAATACTTAAATTTTTGCTTTTCCTATCTGCTGATGGATCCCCACTGAGTAGTCCTTCTTAATTTAATAAATTTATACTGCCTTCACGTATTTTTCTCACCTCTCCCAATCCCTGGCAACTACCAATCTGGACACTTGGGTAGTGAATGGACATGTGGGTTGTTTTCCTATCTTGGCTATTTTAAAAAAATGCAGCAATGAATATGAGGGTGCACATATCTTTTTGAGGTAGTGTTTTTATTTTCTTTGGATAAATACCCAGAAGTGATATTGCTGGATCATAAATAGTTCTATTTTTAATTATATGAGGAACTTCCATACTGTTTTTCATAGTTGCTGCACCAAATTACATTTCCACCAACAGCACAGGGTTTCCTTTACTCCACATCCTCACCAACACTTGTTACTGCCTGTCTCTTTCATAATAGCCATTCTAACAGGTGTGAGGCATTTATATCATTGTGATTGTAATTTGCATTTGTCTGATTATTAATGATATTGAAAATCTTTTTATGTACCTATTGACCACCTGTAGATCTTTTATGTCCCTCAGATATTCTGCCTATTTTTTAATCCAACTTTGTTTATTACTATTGAATTAAATGCAGGTTTGGGATATTAGCCTCTTATCAGATGTATTATTTACAGATAGTTTCTTCCATTCAGAAGATTGCCTTTTCATTTTGTTGATGGTTTCCATTGCTCTGCAGAAGCTTTTTAGTTTAATGTAGTTTAATAATGCAGTAGGGTTTTGATAGGGATTGTATTGAATCTGTAGATTACTTTGATTAGCATGGACTTTTAACAATATTGATTATTTCAATCCATGAGCATTGATTATCTTATCATTTATTTGTATCTTCAATTTCCTTCACTAATGTCTAACTTATTCCTAAGTATTTTATTCTTTTTGTGCAATTATAAATTGGATTATTTTCTTTATTTCTCATTCTGGTAGTTTATTTTTAGTGTATAGAAAAACAACAGATTTTGTGTATTGATTTTGTATACTGCGACTTTATTGAATTGGTTTATTAGTTTTAAAAGTTTCTTGATGGAGTCTTTAGGGCTTTCTGTATATAATATCCTGCTGTCTGCAAATAGTAATAGTTTTACTTCTTCCTTTCCCATTTGGATACCTTTTATTTCTTTTTCTTTCATAAACACTCTTGCTAGGACTTTCAATACTGTGTTGAAAATGGCAAGAGTGAACATTTTTGTCTGATTCCTGATCTTATAAGAAAGGCTTTCAGCTTTTTACTCTTGAGTTTGATATTAGTGGTGGGCTTGTGATATGTGGCCTTTATTATGTTGAGCTATGTTCTGTCTATACTAACTTTATTGAGAGTTTTTATCCTAAATGGATGTTGAATTTTGTCACTTTTCTGGAATCTATTGAGATGATCATGTGGTTTTTATGCTTCATTGTATTAATTAGAATATCACATGGAGTGATATGTGGTTGTTGAACCATCCTTGCGTCCCTGAAATAAATCCTACTTGATCATGATCTGTGATCCTTTTAATGTATTATTAAATTTGGTTTACCAATATTTTGTTGAGGATGTTTGCATTTGTGTTTATCAATATTGGTCTGTAATTTACTTTTACTGTGGTCTTCTTGTCTGGTTTTGGTATCAGTGTAAAGTTGGTCTCATAAAATAAGTTTGGGAAACTTTTCTCCCTTTGTTTCTGGAAGAGTTTGAGAAGGACTGGTATTATCTTCTTTGAGTGTCAGGTAGAATTCACCAGTGAAGCCATCTGGTCCTACGCTTTCATATGTTGGGAAATTCTTAACTACTGATTTAATCACCTTTGCTAGTAATCAGTCTGTTCAGATTTTCTATTTTATCATGATTCAGTACTGGTAGATTGTATATTTCTAGGAATTTATCCATTTCTTCTAGATTGTCCAATTTGTATAATTCTTCATAGTAATCTCTTACAATTCTTTATGTTTCTGTGGTATCAGTTGTAACATCTCTTTCATTTCTGATTTTATTTGAGTCCTCTCTCTTTTTCTTGGTGAGTCTAGCTGAATACTTGTCAGTTTTGTTTATCTTTTTAGAGAACTAGCTCTTAGTTTCCTTGATATTCCCCATTGCCTTTTAGTCTCTATTTCATTTATTCCTGCTCTGATCTTTGCTGTTTCCTTTCTTCTACTAACTTTGGACTTTCTTTGTTCTCCTTTTTCTAGTATTTTTTTTGGGGGGGTATAAAGTTAGATTATTTATTTGAGACTTCTCTTGTTTCCTGAGGTAGGCTATGGACTTCCTTCTTAGAACTGCTTTTGCTGCATCACACAAAGTTTGGTATGTTGTATTTTCATTTTTATTTGTCTCAAGGTTTTTTTTTTTTAATTTTTCCTTTGACCCATTGGCTGTTCAGTATTATGTTGTTTAATATCCCCGTATTTGTGAATTTTCCAGTTTTTTATGTAATTAATTTCTAGGCTCATACCACTATGGTTGGAAAAGATGCTTGATATGACTTCAGTCTTCTTAAATGTATTAAGACTTGTTTTGTGGCCTAATATATACTCTGTACTGGCAAATGTGCTCTTGAGAAGAATGTGTATTCTGTTGCTTTAATTTTTTTCTTTTTATGTATTTATTTTTTATTGTATTTTTTCCATTACCATTTAGTCCCCTTATATCCCCTCCCCCCCTGCAATCACCACACTGTTGTCCATGTCCATGAGTCCTTTTTCCTTTATCCTGTTGCTTTAGATTGAATGTCCTGATTAGGGTGTATGATCCTTTCAGTGTATTGTTAAATTTAGTTTGCTACTGTTTGATTAAGGATTTTTTATCTACATTCATCAGGGATATTGGCCCATAATTTTATTTTCTTGTTGCTTATTTTTCTTGCTTTCTAATGAATTCCCCACTGAAGATCCTTCCTTATCTCCCTACCCTTTATTGAAACAGCTTATCTGTGTTGAACACCTTCTCTGTGTAAGAGATATTGCTGGGTGTTATAGGGAACTGAAAGCATAGGACTCATTCTCTGTTTTCAAGGATTTTATATCTGGAAGGGGATGGAGGGACATTAGTAGGCCTGGTTGTTAGGTATAGGAGAGTTGCAGATGTCCTGAGAGAACAGTGTATGGAGACTGGGGAGAGTGGTATGGAGGAGGGAGAGAATAAGCTGGACCTCTAAGGATGTGATTCTAGGCAATATCCATGCTTAGGGATTTCCTTTTTCTTCTTCTCACTCCTCTCAGAACTTAACTGTTCTGTTTCCTAATTTTTAGTGTCATGTCTTTTGTTAGATAATGATATAAATTAATTTGTGCTGAAGTCAGGAGCTGGTTACAGTATTTTGCTGTGTATAACGTACACATTTTTGCCCAAAAATTTGAGGGAAAAATATGGATGCGTATTATACATGGGTAGTACCTGAAATACCTTGTACCTGTTTTTGTGTTTTGTAATTATTTGTTAAGCAAAATTCCTTGTACTATAGTGTGTTCAAAAATAAATGCTAAAATTCCTTTTGCTTTCAATATCATTATATAAAAATTTAAAATACAAGGGGAGGACCCCCCAAAGTGGAATCTATTTATAAAAAAATTGTATATTTATTTTTACATGTTTAACTTCAGTTACCTTCAGTGTACTCCCCATTTGATGCAATATACCTATTGAGATGTTTTTCCACTACTCAAAACAGTTTTTGGATGCATCAATTTTGATGCCTTTTAATGCTTCTACAATTTTTTGTTTCACCTCTTCTGCATTGGCAAAATACTTTCCCTTTGAGGACTTTTTTCATCAGGGAAACAAAAAAATAGCCACTAGGGGCAAGACTGGGTGAATAGGGAGGGTGGGGCAGGGGGTAATGCTGTTTTGGTTAAAAACTGCTGAATACTTGGTGTGGTGTGGGGAGGTGCAATCACAAATCACTCATCATGAAATGGGCACGTGTGTTAAAAGGGTCTCCCCCCCAGAAATTCACTGAAGCTGAATGCAGCCTCTCACAACAATGCCAGCTAGTACACTAATAGAGATGGGTTCCTAGAACACTCACCTAGTGAGGGAAGCCTGTACTATAAGGGGCCCACCCTCCAGAAGATAATTCCAGTTTGGGGGGCCCACCCTTGTAATTAAACAGTATCTAGTTCTAAGGGCTACTTCAGTCAAACTGAACATATAGATGATAATAGAAATTACTAGTATTCACTGAGTTCTTACCACATGCCAGACAATGGGAAGAGTATTTTAGATATGTTTTCTTTTTTATCCTTACAACTTCTAATACTAGGTAAACATCTTATTATTATTTAACTAAAGGAAAAATTGAGGTTCAGGGAGGTTAAATTATTGCCCAAGACCACATGGTAAATGGTGAAGCGGGGATCTGAATCCAGGCCTGTTGACTCCAGTGTCATTCAGACAGTATGTACTGTATGCATTTTCAAGTTTGCTCTATATTTTAAAAGTCCTTTTGCTTAGTTATGTATTCTTTGATCATAGTACTTCTACTTGCAATATCTTATTTTACCTTCATAATCTCATAAAATGTCAACCTAATATTTTTATCCTCATTTTTCAACTGAGAGAATCCTATATAAGTAAAATGACGTGCCTAAGGTAACAGAATTAAGAGAACCCATAGAATAGAAAGATCTTAGCTTAAATGCCAACTCTCCTCAGGTTAGCAGAGGGAACTTGGCCGAACCACCCAGTTGCTCCAGGCTTC